GTTCATTGGAGGGGCACACGTCTCGGCTTGCACGAGTTCCAAGCCTGTCTTTCCGGCTGCAACACTCGATTGTTCTTGCACCGGTTTCCAAGCGGTTCTAGAGAGTCGTTATCACATTACCGCTACATAAACGTGTTCCTCCCTTAAAGAAACCTTTTCTCAATCATTTCTCCCACAAAATCCTTCGAAGCTTTTTCTGCAAACCCTAGGAGGCCCATCTCCCCTCGTCTGCTTCGAACTTCCTAAATCCTTCTCAGTTTTTCATGTCATCTTCTCAGATCATCCCTTCTCATTCTATTCCCCCGAAGGATGAGGGGTCTGGTTCCAGCCGTCCCCCGATTCCAGTGGACTCTCATGGGCTTCAAACTTAATCCTTCTTGTCCGTCGATTTTGCTCGGGGGGTTCTGTCCGTTCCAATTTTGGACACTGAATTCTCCGAGGCGGTTCACCTCGCTGGGCCTTCAGTTGTCTGTTCTCCTCCTACGTCAGGACACAACATTGTCGAACCTCCTTCCCCTCTCCATTTTGGGGTGCACCTGGCCAGTCTTGAGATGGGTCTCCACTTTCCTCTTCACCCTGCACTTCTTGATATAATGCGCCATTATGGTATTATTCTGGGTCAATTTACCCCTACCACCCACCTGTTTATTGCCGGACTCATAGCCCGATGTGTTTCTTTGAAGGTCCGACCTTATCTGGATATTTTCCTTAATTTTTTCCACTCCGTGAGATCTGGTGCCTACGATACCCAAGGATACGTCGTGATTGCCTAGCGCGCGGGTCATCGCCTGTTCGCTGCAAATCTTATCCTGACTCTTTCAAGGGTTGGAGATATAAATAGGTTTGGGTTACCCCGGGTGATGGCAGGCTACCCTTTGAGAACCGGTGGGGGAGATGATCCGAAGATGGGTGATGCTCGTCTTGCCGGAGGGGAATGAACTGGCTGCCCAGCTTGTCGTCGAGGGCTCTCCATTCCTTACGGGGCATTATGTAGGTGAGAATGGCATTGTGATGCTTGAATTTTTCCCAGCTCGGGTTGTCTGGCACAAGTTTCCTTCCTTCTGGTTTACTCATTGTGGTTTTAAGCTGAGACTTATTATTTGTAGTAGGTGACAAGATGGCCACCCATCTGTAGAGACTTGCGGCGAAGGCGAGTTGAACCCCGAGGCCCATTATTCATGCCCGGAGAGTGCAGACAGGGGGAGATCAAGGAGGACCCTCATCGGAGAGCTCAAGGGGGGCCACCCAAGGGGGAATGGCTGCAACTCTTGCCCAGCAGGCTGCAGACCTCCGGCCTCCCCACACTAGGAGAGCCAGGAAGAGGCCGACATTCCAGCCCATCATTGCAGTCAAGAAGAAGTTGAAGATTAATGAGAGAGATGGTGTGTCATCGGTGGTGGAGGTTGAGTCTAATTCTGATACTCACTCCTCCGGAGGTGACAATGAGGAGGAAACTTCAGCACCCCGCCACAGGATCTGCCTAATCATGCGCTCCAACTTCGCCTCTATCTTGAACGACACCGTCAACCCGGTAGCCCCGGCCCATGATGTTACTCCCCATGTTGATAGGGAGGAGCTCAAAGGTTTGTCCTCCTCTACGGCCTTAAAGCGGGCGGCTCGCGCTATTGCAGAGGTATTTTCTTCTTCTTTCTTTCTCATGACTCCAGATTTGTGCTGTCTGAAACTATTGTTCGTACCTGATGATCTGAAATTGATTTCAGTCTTTTATCCTGGTGGCTTCCAGTTCTACCCACTTAGAGCAGGAGTTGGAAGAAGCTCGAGGGTCTTGTGATGAGCACCGCAAAGCTTTGGCCGAGTTGGAGGCCAAGTTTGAGGCTATGGAGGTTGCCAGGGCCACCGCTGAGAAAGAGGCTGACGCTCTCAAGAAGAGTTTGGATCATGCCTTAGAGCCCCATGCTGCGATCGAGTCATCCTGGCGGATCAAGGAGGAGGAGTTGAAGAAGAAAGTCCAGGAGACCGGGAGCGAAGCCATCTAATCCTTCATAAGCGGGGATGCCTTCAAGGCTGATCTGGAACAGGTAATTACCGAGCGCGGGGCTGAAATTGCACTGGAATGGCTGTCGACCCCTGAGGGGGGAGATAAACTGGTGGAGGAGGGGCTTTATGCTTCCAATTGGGAAAATTCGATATGCAGAAGTCCATTTATGAGACTCTGCTGAAAAGAGATTCCTCCTTCTCCGTCGAGTCCAGGGGGTTGCCAGAAGTGATGGCGAACCCAGAGACTCCTCTAGGCGACCCTGCTCCTGATGCTCCGGTCCTTCCTCCACCTGATGTTTAATCTTATGATCCCAAACACTTTGACATTCTAACAAACACCTTTTCCAGGCCTGTGTGCTTGTAGTTGTTTTCCACGTTTGGGGTGCCATGTAATTCAAACATCTTTAGTTTCCTTTACACATATTCTATTATGCATTCGATCTGCCTATGTTGATTGCTTGCCCTACTTTGTGATTCAAAGTCTCTGAGGCCTTCCAGCCTTACTTTAGGTTGGTTTGCTTCCTTTGGACTCCCGCAGTCTTTTGGGAGGTTTGCCTCTGGTCTTCCTGTTGAGACCTGTTGTAGGTTTCCCTGTTTATGTGATCACAACTATCCTCACTTGCTTTTATTTCTTGAATTTCCAGTCAAGGTCATCTCTCCCGTTTTAGGGAAGATTTTACCAATTTTTTTAACCCTTAGGTTCTTAATAGTCGAACCAGATTGGGTGGGCTTCTCATTCAGGTTAATTTGACCTTATGATGAGCCTCTTAATTGGCGAGGCTTGTGAGCCTCTCCGATGCAAAGTTAATTCTCTTGGTTCATCTTATAGCCTTGTAAAATCAATATTAACCTTGAGAAAAGTTGTCTTTTCGTGTTTGAGGAAATCTGATTTTGTTCATAAGGTTGTTTAACCTTGAGAAAGCTTGTTTATTCCTGCTCTTGTCTTTGGTAAGACTAAGGGGAAAGTTCCCGGAATAGGACTAAAATAGTTTCAAAATTCCAAAATAGGACTGCCATGTTTTTTATTCCCAAAATAGGACTAATTACTGCCATGTTTAGAAAATACTGACATGTTTGAAGTTTGGGAATAAAAACATGGCAGTCCTATTTTGGAGTTTTCAAACTGTTTTAGTCCTATTTTGGGTAATATCTCAAGACTAAGTTGAGCTTTTGGAATTTAGATGAGTCTGGAATTTTTACATTGTCTTTTTGCGAGTACCAGTTAGCATGACCTTTTTTGGATGGTTATGAAACCTTCGCAAGTATTTTTCAAGTGTAAAGGACATCCGTGAATTAAAAATGCAATTTTATTAAAGATTTTTGAATAAAAAAAACTACATACTTACTGGTAGAACTTCAACAAGTGCTCAGAATTCCACACTCTATCTACCAGTATTCCTTTTGGGGTACAAAGTTTGTAGGTCCCGAGCCCAACTATTCCTTTGATCTTGTAGGGCCCTTCCCAATTCTTGGCAAACTTCCCGCCTTTCAGAGGCTTGCTAGCAAATCTTCTTCTTAGGACCAAGTCTCCAATGTTGAATTGTCTTGGTCTGACCTTGACATCATGATATCCCTTCACTTGTCGTCTATAATTTTCAGCTCTGATGAAAGCTCTATCCCTTCTTTCTTCAATTCGATGGAGCTCGACCCTTAGCATCTCTTCATTATTCTTAGGGTCATAGTCCTCCACCCTTTTGCTTGGTACTAATGCCTCTAATGGTGCTCGAGTTTCAAAACCATAAGTTAAAGCAAAGGGGGTCTCACTAGTAGCCTTCCTTGGGGTCGTCTCGTATGCCCAAAGTATGTTGTTTAGCTCATTTACCCATGCCGTTCTCATGGAATCCAATTTCTTTTTGAGACCATTGACAATCGTCATGTTTGCATTCTCCACACTCCCGTTGCATTGAGGGTAAGCAACAGATGCTCGGCTGGCCTCAACTCCCCATTGCCCGCAAAAGGAGATTTGCAAATGCAAAATTTCTAGTCGATAAAAGACTAACGTGTGACCAATGTGTTGATGCATCAATGAACACCATAAAGTATCGAAAGGGTCCACACGGAGGGGCAATTGGCCCACAAATATCTCCTTTAATTCTTTCTAAAAATGAAAGAGATTCAACTCCAATTTTGTATAAAGATGACCTGATAATTAATTTGCCAAGAGAACATGAAGTGCACGAGAAATCACTTGATTGTGGAATTTTGACATTATTTAATAAGTGTCCAAGTGAATTTTGAATAATTTTTTGCATCATAATGCTGCCTGGATGACCTAAACGGTCATGCCACAAGATAAAGGAATTGTGGTCATTAATTTTAGATACCACATTTATCTCAATTGGACTGATATATGTATAATATAGTCCGAAGGAATATGTTGGCATTTTTTCTGAAATATATTTATTGCCATATCTATTTGTCGTTAGACATAAATATTCCTTTTGATTTTCAGACATGATTTCAATGCAAAAAACATTTAAACACATATATTTGAAACTCAAAAGATTTCTCCGTGATTTACTGGAGTATAAAGCATCTTTAATTATTAATTTTGTCCCTTTTGGGAGAATCACACATGCTATTCCAGAATCTTCAATGAGTTTAGCAACACCTGAGATTGTATTAACATTAGCATCAACTAATGTCATATGAGAAAAATAATCTCTATGTCTCAAAATGGTGTGCGTTTTGGCACTATCTATTAAACATTGTTCAAAGCCACTTGGAGAAATTTCAGTTAACTCCATATCTTTGAAAAGATAAAAATGAACAAATATTAGTTCAATATTGTAATATAAACAAGACTTTATTCATTAAAATGTACATAACTTTTACAATCGAAATAAGCACACTAAATCAAAATTACAATACAACAAACTTTTATTGTAGAATATATTACATAACAGAATAATTTCATTTATTATTATTATTTTTCACCCATAACGATGTCAGTGTTCATCTCAATATCGTCCATATAGAAATTAGGCACATTAAATGTGGGTATTGGTGGAACGTTTTCGTTGACGTAATTAGTTTCCACATTCTTTCCTTTTAGAGATGATTTATATAAGTCAATCAAATATCTAGGTGTACGACATTTATTTGCCCAATATCCCGACGTGCCACATTTAAAACAAGTGACTTTGGCCTTTTCTGAAGATTTCGTCGGGCCTTTTGTTTGATGGGGGTTTTGCTTTCCCATGCCTTTGTAAAATGAGCTACTACTCTGTTTGTTTCCCCGGCTAGGTCCATTATAACGACCAATACCACGACCACGTTTGAAATGTCCACGAGCACCACTATGGGTTGCATTTGATTCATGTTTTGAACCATGATTTTTTGGACCAAAACTAAAAGGGCTACAACCCGTGGGTCTCATATTGTGGTTTCTCATCAAAATGTCATTATTCGTCTTAGCAAGTAGTAATACTGATATTAAATCATAATACTTTTGAAAATGTTGTCTATATTGCTCTTGTAAAAGCATATTTGAAAGATGCATAGTGGTCAGAGTTTTTTCCCAACATTTCAGCATTAGTGACTTTTTGTCTGCATAACTTTAGTTTTGATGTTATTTGGAACAAGGCATAATTGTAATCACTTATAGATTTGTAATCCTGGAATCGTAAATTGATCCAATCGTATTGAGCTTTTGGTAAAAGGACCTTTTGTTGATGGTCATACCTTTCTTGGAGATTATCCCATAAATCTTTAGAGTCGTCTACCAATAAATACTCAGACTTCAAACTTTCGTGAAGATGGTGATGAAGAAAGATAATGGCTTTTGCCTTATTTTGGGGAGTGGCTGAATTATTTTCAGCAATTGTGTTTTCAAGGGCATTTGCTTTTAAATGTGCCAAAGCGTCGACTTCCCATTCCAAATACTTTTGACCAGATAAATCAAGGATGTCGAACCCTCTTTTGCTAATATTAGCCATGGATGAATTGATGGGAAGATGATGATTTCAGAGATTTGGAGCAAATTTGTGCTGATAACGTGTTATAAAATGGAAGGAAATAAGCAGAAGATCAGGGAGAGAAAATATAGTATGAACACTTAGTGATAGAGGTGTATTAGAGATGTTCTAATGGTGTGATAATTACAATGGAGAAGACTCCTATTTATAGGAGAAAAACTAATCTTCTTAGGATTAGAGGATAATTGTGAACCACACAATTATCATCTTGAATCATAATTATGATTTCCTGATTATTTATACAATGGTGATAATAATTCCTAATCAGGAATAGTTGGAAGATGACTAATTCAATTATATTTCAACACAAAAAGAATTTTAAACAATATAAGGCCATCCCACAGTCCACACACCAGCGCGCGGGCAAAAAAATAAAAAAAAAAGGGTCTGAGTTTTTGAGACGATTATGTATGAACCGATGTAAATAGAAAATATATAAAATAAACGGGTTACTTACAAAGGCTGTTACCGTCGAAACCGTCTTTGAGGAAACTATTTAATTTTTATAAATTAATATACAACGTCAGTTTTTTAAAAAAACCGACGTGAAACACCCCATACCTTTCCTATGATGACAATTTTTAGGAAAACCGACGTCACATGTGAGACGTGAAATGTCATTCTTGTAGTAGTGGTTTCTGCTTCTTCGGTACTTGTTGAGACGGAGTTCTGCTTCTTGCTAAACCATGAGACAAGACTGCCTCGAAGCTGCCAACTCGATTGTGACTGTGTGATCCAACCATAATATTCGTCGTAAATCGCCTCTCAATGAAAACACCAAATGATGGGGTTTAATTCCAATTACAAGAACTAATCTATGAAAATCGTGTTTTTAGGCAGCATAAGACAATATTCTTATGCGGAAAAGCTTGTCTCTTCTAGGGTAAGTAAATGAAGTATTTGTAGACATAGAGCTGCAGTGGCCTAAGGAGACATAACGGGTACATTAAATAGGTCTAATCATGATAGAACTCTTCTAACGCATCCAACAACTCCACATTTATTACTCCTTTATGTCCACGTCTCTTCCGTTAAGTCTCTGTCGCTGCCAGATAGCCATGCACAACGGATGGCTAGCCACATAAGCCCTAGGGTGAGTCCGAACTCACTTGGAATCCCACCTAGGTCCGAGGTCTGCTAATCAGGTCAGTCTGGATGTGGACTCTTTTTGCAGGTCACGGTCCCCTACTAGGCCCAATTGGCTTTATTAATTAATTAATCCTGATTAATGGGCTTGATTTATTAATTCCGTACAATGGATTTTGCGTGTGATATGCAAATGGTCATGATCACAGTCCATTGTACCATCATCCATATTTGGACTCATGTGATCCTAAAAGAAGACTACGAAATTGTTCTGTTCGCGTGATCTCAATGTTTCTAATAAGATTTTTTAATGATTTGGTCAAATTTGATATGATTTTTTATCCAATCTGAATAAAGTAAGAATAAGCGATAAAATGAAGACAATGGCTTCTAAGTGAGGTGTAAGGTGACTTTTGAAATATGGATTGTGAGGATTATAATTTTCAAAACAAAATTGGAAGATGATATATGAGAATATTCGGAAATCGAAGAGATTATTTTTATTTTCCAGAGTCTATGCCTCTATGGGACTTGCTTTCGCAATTTATATCCTACACCCGGGTGTACATGTATACCCATTTTTTGTAATTAATAGCAAGTTTGAGGATAATTAATAGACTGAAGTGTTGAGTTGCTTTCTTTTTTTGCCGCTGCTCCACTCACATTCATCCTTACTTCGTATGTTCTCCTTTCTTTTCTTTTCTTTTGTTTATTCTTTTTTTATTCGTTCAACTTTCTTTTTGTTTTCGTTTTTTAGCAACCTTCAATTTTAATGTTATATTCAATTGTTATGAAAATGTATAATATAAAATATTATTAAATATTTCAGTTTATTTTTTAGATTCATGTAGGAGTTGATTATAGATATAGGAGCACAGACCATGACACTCAATTGCATGTTTTCAATACTCAATAGAGGATGTTTGATGCTCAATAAAAATGTATTGAAATTCAACTAAAAACTTATGATTTTCATATTGATGGAGTTTAATCCAACTACGAGAGTTATATCTACGAGAGCAGATGAAATTTAGGCAGCATAAGGCACTATTCTTATTCTGGAATCCGGCCCCTTGGTAGGACAAGTACAAGAAGTATTTATAGACCTTGAGAACTAGTATTCTAAGAGGAAACTAATACATTTAATGTTGTTAATTACATAAGAGTCATGTAACGTCTTGGCCGTTGTGCAATGATTGCTTCCTCTAGGTCTACGTTTCTTTTGTTACTCATGCCTGCTGCCAGATAGCTATGCACGAATGATAGCCTACCACGTAAGCCCTAGGAAAAGCCCATCCTGCTAGATATCTGCCCAAGCTCGAGGTCTGCTGTCCAGCCCGACCCGGTTGTGGGTTCCTTTCGCGGGTAGGATTCATAGTTAGGCCAAGCGGCTAATTAATATTAATCCCGTTTAAGGGCTGATCCTGTTTGTGGACTTTAATTAAAATTCCGTAATTGGGCCATGGTCTTAATCCATGGTACCATCACGAGCCCCTTACTCTCTAAAATCAGTTGGGCTGGATTTTAGGAGAGTAACGAGCCCTTATTTCAAATTTTGAATCTTTGGTAACTCGTGGCGCCATTTAGCATTGAATGCGGTTCATTGGAGGGGCACACGTCTCGGCTTGCACGAGTTCCAAGCCTGTCTTTCCGGCTGCAACACTCGATTGTTCTTGCACCGGTTTCCAAGCGGTTCTAGAGAGTCGTTATCACATTACCGCTACATAAACGTGTTCCTCCCTTAAAGAAACCTTTTCTCAATCATTTCTCCCACAAAATCCTTCGAAGCTTTTTCTGCAAACCCTAGGAGGCCCATCTCCCCTCGTCTGCTTCGAACTTCCTAAATCCTTCTCAGTTTTTCATGTCATCTTCTCAGATCATCCCTTCTCATTCTATTCCCCCGAAGGATGAGGGGTCTGGTTCCAGCCGTCCCCCGATTCCAGTGGACTCTCATGGGTTTCAAACTTAATCCTTCTTGTCCGCCGATTTTGCTCGGGGGGTTTTGTCCGTTCCAATTTTGGACACTGAATTCTCCGAGGCGGTTCACCTCGCTGGGCCTTCAGTTGTCTGTTCTCCTCCTACGTCAGGACACAACATTGTCGAACCTCCTTCCCCTCTCCATTTTGGGGTGCACCTGGCCAGTCTTGAGATGGGTCTCCACTTTCCTCTTCACCCTGCACTTCTTGATATAATGCGCCATTATGGTATTATTCTGGGTCAATTTACCCCTAACACCCACCTGTTTATTGCCGGACTCATAGCCCGATGTGTTTCTTTGAAGGTCCGACCTTATCTGGATATTTTCCTTAATTTTTTCCACTCCGTGAGATCTGGTGCCTCCGATACCCAAGGATACGTCGTGATTGCCTAGCGCGCGGGTCATCGCCTGTTCGCTGCAAAATCTTATCCTGACTCTTTCAAGGGTTGGAGATATAAATAGGTTTGGGTTACCCCGGGTGATGGCAGGCTACCCTTTGAGAACCGGTGGGGGAGATGATCCGAAGATGGGTGATGCTCGTCTTGCCGGAGGGGAATGAACTGGCTGCCCAGCTTGTCGTCGAGGGCTCTCCATTCCTTACGGGGCATTATGTAGGTGAGAATGGCATTGTGATGCTTGAATTTTTCCCAGCTCGGGTTGTCTGGCACAAGTTTCCTTCCTTCTGGTTTACTCATTGTGGTTTTAAGTTGAGACTTATTATTTGTAGTAGGTGACAAGATGGCCACCCATCTGTAGAGACTTGCGGCGAAGGCGAGTTGAACCCCGAGGCCCATTATTCATGCCCAGAGTGCAGACAGGGGAGATCAAGGAGGACCCTCATCGGAGAGCTCAAGGGGGGCCACCCAAGGGGGAATGGCTGCAACTCTTGCCCAGCAGGCTGCAGACCTCCGGCCTCCCCACACCAGGGGAGCCAGGAAGAGGCCGACATTCCAGCCCATCATTGCAGTCAAGAAGAAGTTGAAGATTAATGAGAGAGATGGTGTGTCATCGGTGGTGGAGGTTGAGTCTAATTCTGATACTCACTCCTCCGGAGGCGACAATGAGGAGGAAACTTCAGCACCCCGCCACAGGATCCGCCTAATCATGCGCTCCAACTTCGCCTCTATCTTGAACGACACCGTCAACCCGGTAGCCCTGGCCCTGGATGTTACTCCCCATGTTGATAGGGAGGAGCTCAAAGGTTTGTCCTCCTCTACGGCCTTAAAGCGGGCGGCTCGCGCTATTGCAGAGGTATTTTCTTCTTCTTTCTTTCTCATGACTCCAGATTTGTGCTATCTGAAACTATTGTTCGTACCTGATGATCTGAAATTGATTTCAGTCTTTTATCCTGGTGGCTTCCAGTTCTACCC